GTCAGATCCAACTCATAGCAACCCCTCCTTGGATTTCCAAGGTGGTATCCCTATGGAACTAGATTGCCCAACTTTCCTTCCAAGGAGTGGCTGGTGGGTTTGAACTGCCAGCCTTCTGGTTAGCAGTCAAGTGCCTTAGGCACTATGCCACTAATTATATTCTAATGATTTGGATTAGGTCTGGGTCAGGGGTATGAGGCTTATGCTCATGCCCCAAGTTAGGGAATTTCCCTAACCTCAAGTTTCCTGGGTCTGTGGTTATTCTGCTTAATTTTGATTGGCTAGGCCATGCAGGTGGTTTTGGGTTAAAGTAAGTGTTAGCTTATTAACCTCCTTAAGTATTTTGCCTCTCTCCCTTTTCCCCTCCCTTTGGGCCTCCCCTCAGGCCAGTCCCCTGCTCTACCTTCCTGCCTACCAAGACATCCCAGTTAATTGGCCTAGTAATACCTAGAAGCAGAATCTTTGATATAGTGAAAAAATGTTTAGTGCCTCTGTTCTAACTCCTACTTCAGGAAGTAGTGCCTGGTGTCTTAAAAGCTTGCAAGTAGCCATCCAAGGCATAACAATTGGTCTCTACTTGCCTGGGACAACAGAGGAAGTAGAGTCAGGAATAGGAGGAGGATATGGAATGTGTGGTTAATTGCTCCCTGAACAATTGCCTTCTTTGCTATGAGACCAGAACCGGATGGTGCCTCGCTACTATTACTGAACATTTTGATCAAAGATTCCATACAAGAATCCTGATCAAAAGAGGGAAAATGCAGAACAGAATTTCAAATTCTCATGGACTCCAGACTTCCCAGGGTCATGAAGGTTGGATGAACTCCTGAAACTATTGCTCTGAGAGAATCTTTAAACCTTCAACCAAAAATATCCCTTGAAGTCTTCTTAAAACCAAACAATAGTTTCACTTAACTAGTAAAAAATATCTGCCTGGAGCATTACACTCTTTTAAGAATTATCTATATGGGATCAATCAGAAGGAAGACTGGGCAATCTACTTCCATACAGATACCCTCAGAAACTCAAGGAGGGGTCACTATGAGTCAGAACCAACTCAGTGGCAATGAGGTGTTTTTTTTTTTTTTTTTTTTATATGGGACCAAATTGACAACATCAACTTGAAAGATTAGATAGGAACCTTCAGGGACAGCAAATTTATGTTAATGGAGGAGGAACCACTGAGAAAAGTAGTATGACACTAGCTACACAACTCACAGGGTGTCATCAGCGTGACTTAAATGGGTGCATGTAGAATATGCTGAACTGGTGTATGTTTTACTGTGTATGTTCTCAACAAAAATAAAATTACATTTAAAAAAGAAAAAAAACTTCTGTTCTTCAAGACAAGCCACAGACTAAAAGAAAATATTTGCAAAATACATATTTGATAAAGGGCTTGTATCCAAAAGATACAGGGAATTCTTTTTTTTTTTTGGTGGTGAAAAAATTTATATTTAGAATTAGCCAGCTTGGCTCGGTTTAGATGATCCCAGTTTTGTTGGCAACCTCCAAAGCGTCATAGTCAGGAGCCAGTTGAACATATGTCTTCTCTCCATCAGGCCTGATCAAGGTGTCAACCTTGGCCACCATCAATGTCTTGGAGCTTCTTCACAGCCTGTTTGATCTGGTGCTTGTTGGCTTTGACATCCACAATGAACACAAGTGTATTGTTATCTTCTATCTTCTTCATGGCAGATTCAATAGTCAGAGGGAACTTGTTGATGGCATAGTGGTCAAGCTTGTTTCTCCTGGGAGCACTCTTCCAAGCATATTTGGAGTGCCTCTGGAGCCTCAGTGTCTTAGGCCACCAGAAAGTGGGTGACATGCAGATCTTCTTTTTTTGGTGGCTGTGGACACCCTTCAACATTGCCTTCTTGGCCTTCAACACCTTTGCTTTGGCTTCAGTTTTGGGAGGGGCAGGGGCTGGGAAAAAAGGAAAGAAAAGCAGTGTGCTGGACTCAGAAATCCATCACTTCTGGCCTCAACACCTGTGGTGGGCACCCCAACCACACATGCATCAGTGGTTCCTTTGAAGACTTCACACCACGTCTCAGGTTAAAATTTTTCCATCATACACCAGAGAATTCTTAATACTACACATAATAACAAACAACCCAATTACAAAATGGGCAAACAATCTGAACACATCACCAAGTAAGATCTATAGATGGCAAATATGTATATGGAAAGATGCTAGAGATCATTTGTTATTAGAGAATTACAAATTAAAATGAGAGACCACTATACATTGATTAGAATGGCTAAAATAAAAAAAAGACACCACCAAATGCTGTCACAGATGTGGAAAAACACTCTTTCATTGCTGTTAGGAAAAGTTTCTTAAGATTAACATAAGCTACTATTACAGTCCAGCCATTATACTCTGAAGTATTTTCTTTCCCAAAGAAAAGAAAGGATCTATACAAAGTTGTGCACAAGAATGTTCATAGCATTCTATGTAGAGCAACTGCCAAAAACTTAACAACACAAACATCCATCAGTGGGTGAATGGATTGAAGGAAAAAAAAGGAAGTGATAGAATACTTTCCAATAGAAATTATTGATATATGCAACATGGATGAAACTCAAAATGATTATGCTGAAAGAAGCCAGGCCCCCCAATATGTGTGTGTGTGTGCGCGTGTGTGTGTAAACACATATATACAGATGCCAGCCATACCTAGAAGCATAATCTTTGATACAGTGAAAAAAATGTGAAACTGTTCACTGCTGTTGTTAGGTGCTGTTGAGTCAGCTCCAACTCCAAGCAACCCTATGTGCAACAGAACGAAACACTGCCCAGTCATGCACCATCCTCACAATCCTTGCTATACTTGAGCCCATTGTTGCAGCCACTGTCAGTCAATCTTGTAGAGGGTCTTCCTCTTTTCTGCTAACCCTCTACTTTACCAAACATGATATCCTCTCCAGGGAATGGTCCCTTCTCACATTACCAAAGTAGGTGAGACAAAGTCTGGCCATTCTTGCTTCCAAGGAGCAGTCTGGCTGCACTTCCTCCAGGACACATTTGTTTCTTCTGGCAGTCCGTGGTACCTTCAGCATTTTTTGCCAGCAACACAACTACAGATTAGTAAGAAAGCACAAGTGAGCCGAATTTACCGTGCTTACTGGGTAATCCAACAGTCTGTGTAAGGTAGAAACCTGTCAGAGAAGCAAAACTCATATATTTTTTAACTAAAATGATTGATACAAAAGTGGTAAGACTGCACTTTGTCACAGGCAGAAAACTTGCAAGACCCAGAAAAACAAGGCAGTCCCATCGTGTTCCAGCTCATACTTTTCACTGTGTAAGGGATTTGCAGCAGCAGAGAAATCAACTACTTCAGTAAGCACTGTTTAGTTCTGTTGATAGCTTTCATAACAAAACTTCTTCCATGAAGGAAGTAGTATATTAAACAAATTCTGACCCAAGTTTCTTATCTCATCACTTACCAGGAAAGTCCACTGAGTGGCATTAGTCTGTGGAACATACTTTGAGTAGCACTGTCTCTATCACAATGATAACCTCTCTAAGCCTATCCTCATCTGTATAATGAGAATAATAATAATGCTTAGGGTCACCTCGAGGAATATTCCAATACTGTAATGAGCTATAAAGGTCCCCAGGTGGCACAAATGGATAAGTACTAGGCTACTAACCAAAAGATTCACAGATCAAATCCACTCAGTAACTCCACGGTGGAAAGGCTTGGCAATCTGCTTCCCTTAAGTTTATATTTATTCACTGAAAATCCTCATGGAGCCCAGTTCGTCTGGAAATGTGTGGGGTCCCCATAAGCTGGAATCAATTTGACAGCAATGGGTTTAATGAGCTCTGGTAGCATAATGCCTAAGGCACGTGACTGCTACCCAGAAGGCTGGCAGTTCAAACCCCCCAGCCACTCCTTGGAAGGAAGGTTGGGCAATCTACTTCCGTAGTGATACTGCCTTGGCAACCCAAGAAGGGGTCGCTATGAGTCGGGTCCAACTCAATGGCACATAACAACAACAGTATGCATGTAACAGGCACCAAATAATTTAGGTATTGATTACTGCATTATGTGAAAATTATTGGAAAGAATAAGGCAATACACAAAATACAGTATGGCGTTCTTTATTTGTCCAGGATAATTATAAAGTTAACTAAACTTTTAAATGGTCTGTTTTCCAATGAAGTTAACATCCAAAAGTGTCAAATTCCATATTAGTTTATAATAAAAATGGACCTATATACATATCTATATAGTCTTATCTGATCCTTGATATAATATATACATTATACATGTATACACTGTACATCTTTTTATCAGAACATACTCCCCTGATGACACATAAAAATACAGAAGTAACTGTTATTTTCATTTTCTTTCCAGTGTTCTAGTAAAAGATCTTAAGTTTCTAGAATTCGTAACACACAGAATTGTTATGTAAATTTAGAGTATTTTTCTTGCTCCTGTCTGAAGAAGAGCTTCTTTTTCAAAGAAATGTTATAATCTCTCTTTTGGAATATGAGAAAATAGGCAATCTCTTGAGTTAGATAGATAGATAGATATATGCAGCTTAGACATTCTTTAAAAAAGTTATTTTAAGAAAATACCACAAATTCATAATTATATAATACAAGTCCTTGCTATCCACACATTTCTTTAATATTCAAGTACATTTGTGCTTTGCATGTTTACATTAGAACCTATTTTTAGCTTTTAATAATAAGCTGTACATCTACAAAGATTTCTCAAATATTAAATGAGGGAAAACAGTCATTATGAAAATACAAACTGCTACTACAGTTTTCTCATCTTCACTTCATTTTTAATGCATTTTCTGTCAACCATGTAATTTCCTGTTCTTTCAGGAAGTTGATAAATTTTTATCACTGTAATCTCATCACTGCTGCTTTCTCAGCTTGGCATAATATACCACAGGTTTTCTGAATTCACTCCACCGTATCAGCTGTAGCAGTGAAATTTAATAGCATTGGTATGCATCGTTTGTAGTTATTTCAACTGCAGGACCACCTTAAAAGAGAAATTTGGGGGTGGGGGAATTAGGTTATATCAGAATGGTGCAATATATGCTAAAAGAAATGCTTTGAAATCTCTGCAAGAAAGGTAAGGATGATTAACAATAAGCGAGTATAACTATGCACAATAACTGGTAACACATGGGTGGCAGTTAGGTTGTGTGTCAACTCGGCTGGACAGTGCTTTTGAGTACTTATTGTCCATGATGAGACTACAATCTCCATGGTGGAATCTGCTTTGAGCAGCTAAGCACTGAAGGGGAGTTACCTTTGGGATGTAGCCTGCTTCCAGTATATGAAGAAGCTTTGAAAAAGGTCTCTAAGCTCTAGCTTTTTGGCACATTTTGCACTGTGTTCCCTGCTGATCCTGGGACTGTTCCTGGACTTGAACCAGTATCCTGCTGTGCTTCCTACCAATCTTGGGATTGTGTCATTTCACCTGCAGACCTTGAGTTCATCAGCCTCAGCAGCCAGTACCTGCCTGAGTTAGAAGACTCCTCTAGCTCCAGTGGACCTGGAACAAGAGGTAGAGCTGAAGCCCAAGGTCAAGGGGCCTTCACCCAGTGCCTAGAGCCAGCAGTGTGAATTTGGACTAGCCACCTAAACAGCAAGAGAAAAAATTCTGTTTGTGAAGCCATCTGCACCAGAGAACCAAGACAACATGCCTGCTAGGATCTACAATTCGGAATCATGTAACATTTATACCGGGCTCTACCACATTCCCCCTTCAGACATTTAGCGGCATCCAAAGCCAAACCAGGCTTGAACTACTCCTCTGATTAGTGGCATGTGGACCTGTCATCAAAGCACCAAAATATTTGGGCAACTGCAGAGTTCACAAGAAATCTAAAGAGTATCAGGGCTTACAATGGACAAGACCTTGAATATTGGTTAATGGCAAGAGAGGTTAGTAAGAACAACTGACTGAGAAAATGCAGGGCACTAATGGCAAAACCATATACATAAAGAGAATTACTTCTTATTTCTTCCTCACACCAGCAGTCTCTCTTGTTTAAAAATTATTTTCCCTATTTATTAAAAACTAGGAGTGGTCACTGTTATTTAGCCTTCCCTTTGTCAATGTACAAACTTTTAAAGTCATTCATTAGTTATATGTTATCTCAACCTGATTTCGTGTTAGTAACTACAAGGCATATATATTTTGTCTCCAGTAGTGGTGCAGTTCCTAAGCCATTTGAGTGCTAACCAGAAGGCTGGTGGTTCAAATCCACCAGCCACTCCGTGGAAGGAAGACTAGGCAATCTACTTCCGTAAACATTTACTGCCTTGGAAACCCAAAGGGGGTCACTGTGAGTCAGAATTGACTCAACAGCAGTGAATTTGGCTTTTTTTGGTTGCTACAGGATTGCAGAAGCAATTTTCTATTATTTGTCCAGTTAAAATAAGACACACTTTTCTTCAAGATTAAAACTGTTTTCTAACCATAAAAATTCTTGAGAAGAAACTAAGCTCACAACCCAAGGTAAAACTTTATTTTTATCATTAATAAGCATTACAACGGGAGCTCTGGTAGCATAGTGCCTAAGGCACTTAACTGCTAACCAGAAGGCTGGTGGGTTTGAACTTTCTTCCACTACGGAAGAAAGATGGGGCAATCTACTTCCGTAGTGCTACTGCCTTGGAAACTCAAGGCAGGGTCGCTATGAGTTGTGTCTGACTTGATGGCACATAACAACAACAACAAGAAGCATTACAACAAAACAAATCCCATCACTAGAACAGCACTGTTATTCCCTCAAAAAGAGCTACTGGGTAAGTTATGCTCCGAACTAAATAATTAAAAATTACAAGTTATAATTAATTTGATATTTAAAAGCAGAGATGCAGAAGATAGAAATAGAGTACTTTCCTGTAAAAATTTAAACTATACAATGAAATTAAAATAAATACCTTATTAGCTGCTTCCAAGGAATTTATTAGATTCTGTAGCTCTTCTTTACTCATTTCAACAGAATATGGTTTGACTTCACCATTTTCTTTTACATCTAGATGAAGGTTTAAAAGTGGCATTTGTAACGTAGCAATCTTGTCACTAGAAAGTGCAAGCTGTTTAAAATTACGAAAATGGTAATTAATAAATAGTTTAAAAGGATGATATTAAATACACACCAGAGCTTAGTAATAGTACACTTTAGGAAAAAAAAAAAAAAACCCTCCTGTTTGCTGTCAAATATAAGGCAAGGTGGAACAAATAAATTAAACCCATGCCAAAACAACACAGAGTTGAATAACAGAACAAGAAAAAAACCCAAAACTAAACTCACTGCCATTGAGTCAATTCTGACTCACAGCGACCCCCAATGGGTTTCCAAGGCTGTAAATCTTTATAGATTAGATTGTTTCATCTTCCTCCCACAAAGCAGCTGGTGGGTTTGAACCAGTGACTTTCTGGTTAACAGCCAAATGCCTTACCCACTATACCACCAGAGCTCCTTAGAACAAGAAAAAAATAGTGAATAAAAGAAAGAAAGTAGGTTAGGAAAAAAAGGCAAGAAGTCAGCAGTGTTACGGTGGAAGCAGATATCTACAGCAGAGTTATGGCTGAGAGATACTAAATGGGGCCAATGGAACAGAAATTTTAAAGAGTGAATATGCCAAGAGGACAAGAGTCCCGTATGTGAAGATAAATGAAACTAAAAACACTGGTAAATTCTCAGGCATTAAGATGCTTACTTATGATCAGCTATCTACTACACTGTTGGAAAGTATGTTGCCAAGATACTATCAATTACAACCATTCAGAAAAATACTCAAGATATTTCTCTTACTTCTTACTTTCTGTCTCCACTGAGTATCTTAGGGAAAGTGGAAGAACTAAGTATTTATGGTGCTAATACTTTCTGAAACAAGCTCTGTAGCTTCACTGGCAGATGCCAAAAGGAAACTCAATATTCCTAGAATCGAAGCCAGAAAACCCCCAATAACTGAATCCTTATTTAGAATGTCACCATTTACAAAAATTACTTGTGTACTTATGAGGGATTCCTTCCCGTTACAACCAACCTCAAAGGATCATTCTTGTGGTACATATACTATAGAATCAAATCCTTACATATCTCCTCCATTTTTTCTCCAAAAAAAAAGGACTCATTACATCTGAGATTTGAAAGTATCATCTTGAGGTGGTCTACCTTATGAATAATTCTGCCCCTCAACATTTTTAATAAGTGGTTTCTCAGCCTACATTTCAATACCATCAATGACGAGTAACATGCTACCTTTAAGGGAATAAAATCATTTTCTGATACTCAGAGTGGTTAAAAGTTCTTCCCTACGTTGAATTCCAGCTTGCTGCAAATGATGTACCTTAGTCCTTCTAGCCACCATAGCCACAAAAAATACATTTAATCCCAAATCAGTGTGTCTTTCAGTCTTTTAAAAATAACTCGTATTTTGGGTTTTCTCATGTAAAATGTTCTCACATCTTTCAAAATAACATCATATATCATGATTTTAAGATCCTGATCATTCTTTTCTGGCTTATTTCTAATACCCCTTTAGTTTGGCAGCCAGAAGGAAAAAAGATTATTTAACTCAAAAGAATTAATGGTCTAAAAGAGAATACACTACAACTATCCTTTCATAAGACATGGCATTTTTTATCAACAATACAGGTAGTCCTGTACAACACAATACAGGTAGTCCTCAACTTATGACACATTCAAGTTATGACAAACTGCACTCATCACCTTCAGTGTTATCTGGAACTCTGAATCATCCCACGAGGAAGTTATGGGAAAATGAATATAGAGGATACGGAAAAATTACTGAGTGATGTGAATAGCCCCCAAGCATTTGATCAGGATAAAATGATGGAAGAGATCGGTAGAAAAACCATTTATACAGTAAGAACACTGAATTTAGAACTTGGTATCACCAATGGGGAACAGCACATCAGTCATGAAGGAGACTTGACAGATCAGGACTTAATAGATTTTGAAGAGGAAAGAAAGATAAAAGAAGAAAGAACTGATGAGAAGGAAGAAAGAGAAAAGTTATCAAACAATTTTACAGTTAAAAGATCAGCTGGAATTTTTTCTAAACTAAATCAGGGGCTTCAGTGGCTGGAAAACATGGATCGAAAGGCCAGTTGCTTTGCTTAAGTCAACAGGTAGATTCAGGAAGCAGTGAGATATCACTGTCAAATATATGAAGAAACAAAGAAAAAGTACAGATAGCTCTCACTAATTTTCTGACTAGAACTGCCATCCCTATGTCCAGGGATAATCCAGATGATTTAGAACTTCCCGTAAGTGGAGTAGTTACTGCAACTGATAAAATATTATCTTGTCTAATACTTCTTCATTGTCAAATAAATTTTTATGACTTGTGTATTGTTTTTATGTATACATGTATTAAAATATATCTGTTTTTATATAATGTTTCCAACCCCCAAAGCCAAATAAAGATCAAATTTATAAAGATACTGACAACAAAAAGCAATAATAATGAATAATAACAACAACAATGGAATCCTTGGAATGTAACCTTATCCTAAGCTGGGGACCATTTGTATTGAATCAACATACTGCTGACTCAAGCTGCACTTTGGTAACCAAAACAGCACACTACTATTACCGTATCTCCCTTATCTTTTGAATTTATGGTTGGCCATATCTAAACAAAAAATCCTCTTTAAGTTATCTATGCCTGATTTATTTTGTTTCATTGGTTCATCACTGTAACTGGCTGTAAAATAATTTTAAACTCTGACTGCATCATGTCACATATTAAATATACCTCTTGTGTTCTACCACCTTCAGATTTAACAAGCATAATATTCACAAAAATGATGAAGAATACTGGGCCAAGGACAGAACCATAGACACTTCCATCCTCACTAATACAAACTCATCTGTCTTCAGGTGATTATTTATCGAGTTATGAACCCACCTAACTGTACCATTTTCCCACATTTTTCTCTACGTTATCCACAAAGACAATGTGAGGTACCTGATCCAGGGTCATGCTAAAGTCAAGAAACACAATTCATTTTTTCTTCCTCATTTACTCGTCTTTGTTGTTGTGGGCCTAAAAAGGAGGGAACCTGATCTGACATTGTTCTTTATAAAACCTACTGATCATGACTCTATTTTCAAAATGTTTATAAAATGTGTTTAATAATGTATATTTTCCCCCTGTAAGCAGAATCATATTTACCAGTATCAAGAAGGCTTTAAGCTCTAGAAAGTTAAAAAATACCATTCATTGATACTACTCTACTATTTATGACATTTAATGATTTCTAGAGCTTGTTAACTAAATTTACTATCAATGTAAATATTATATATGGTTTGCACATGTATAGTATACTTATGACTAAATTGGTACAAAAGATGTAATTTATATTATCTTTGATATTTCTTTGGGACAATATATTCAAAAATCAAAAGAAAACTTAGATATATGATATTACAAAACACAGTATTTCTATCTTAAAAAAAAAGCCTACATACTCTTAAGTAAATATTCTTACCTTTAGCTGCCAATCAAAATCCTGAAGCTGTGCAGAGGAAATATCAACTATTTCTCTTAAAAGAGCATGTTTGATTTCATCTTTTCTACTTTTTAAGCATTTCATGATAGCTTCTTGATGAAATGAATTCAACTGATTCAACTGCTGTGATACCTATGAAAATAAAAATAAATCATTTAGAAAATAAGGAGCTTGTGTTTGCTTGTGTTTAAAATGTAGACACGTACTTTTGCTCTCTTTTCCTTCAAAATGACAGTAAAAGAATAGAAAGAAATACTTTTATTAACTACAAAGAGAATAAAATGAGAATGCATAACCAGCAAACAAGAGCTTTTAACAAATTTCTGGAGAGCAGAGGATAAAGGAAAAAGCTGGTTGCTGGAGTAGCTAGGAAGCCACAACCCAGAATACACCCGAAGAGCACTAAGGCTGGGGAAGCTATGCTGCTACATCAGACAATGTAGCTTTCAAGGCAAGAAGTAATATAAGAAGTATAAAAGTATAGCAAAAGAGCTGCTCAAAAGAAAGACACAGCAATCAAAAATTTGTGTGCACTCCAAACAGTTTCAAAGTTTATAAAGCAAACTTGGCAGAACTAAAAAGAGATTTAACACATCCTCAGTAACTGACAGAAGACAGACAGAAAACAAACAAAAAATCATTAACAATACAGAAATGAAAAATACTATCATTTCATTTACCTAATCAACATATAGAATGTTGTTGTTCTTAGTAGCTATAGATTCCTGCTCATGGCGACCCCATTGAGGTGTGCAGAATAGAACTGGGTTCCAAAGGGCTTTCAAGCTTTGTGACCTTTCAGAAGCAGATCCGAGGCACCTCTTGGGTGGGCACAAACTGCCAACCTTTTGGCTAGTACTTAATCATGTGTGTCACCCAGGGACTTCCATAAAACGCTACACCCAAGAACTACAGAATATACATTATTTTCAAATGTATGTGGAACAGCCACCAAAATGCACATACACTGAGCTATGCAGAAAGCCATGACAATTTTAAAGAACTAACATATAGAGTTTATATTTTGGGGGGCACCTGTATAATTAAATCATAATTGAGTAACAAAAGAAACAAAAAGCTTCCAAATATTTATAAAATACTAATAAAGAAATAAAAGCAACCTAGTAAAGTTAAAGACAAAAGATATCCCATGACACCACAACTTCATTTAAGGTGTCAAACCTAAAAAGATATCGCATGTGTGCACAAGGAGACATATACAATTCATCATAGTCTAAAAGAGGCAATAACCCAAATGGCCATCAGGAGAGGAACAGATAGATAAAGCTTAAAATAAAATACTACAAGGTGTTAAAATACATGAACTGGATCTGTATCTATCAACAAGGATAAATCCAAAACACAATGTTGCATGAAAAACAATTATAAATGTTAACATTTACAAGTTACAGATCTAAATATACAAAATAATACATATTGTTTAAAAATGTAAATACACATATAATACAGAACATAAAACATGCACACTAACTACCGGATAGTGGTGACCTCTGGAGAGGGAAGGGCAAGAAGTGGGGTCAGGGGAGGAAGTATTTAGCTATTTCTGTAATGCTGTATTTCCAAAAACAAGGAGATCTAAAATACACAATGTAAAATCTTAACTGTTTAATCATATTAATAAGAATGTAGGTATTTGTTATATTGTTACTTTCTGTATGCTTTAAATGTTGCAGTTTAAAAAATAAACACAACTCCCTCCCCGCAAAAAAAGATTTTCCCAGATTTTCCATTTATTCAGAATTACTGAGGTTTTTACTTATGTAATAATTACTTACTGATAATGAGCTCTGGTAGCATAGTGCCTAAGGCACTTGACTGCTCACCAGAAGGCTGGCGGTTCAAATCCACCAGCCACTCCTCGGAAGGAAGGTTGGGCAATCCTACTTCCGTAGTGATACTGCCTCGGAAACCCAAGGAGGGGTCGCTATGAGTCAGGGCTGACTCCACGGCAAACAACAACAACAACAACAAATGACCCTTGTATAGTGTCTTAAAGACTAAATTCATTAAAAAAAAAAAAAAGCATGTTTATTATAAAGAATAGAATTTCAAAGTGAAGTTACCTCTTCATCAGATAAATTTTTACCCACAATAGCTTTGAAAAATGTGGTAATATCTTCTAGAACGTGTGTCCATTCTGTTGAATCCCAAACACTGTGGTAATCCTGGTAGAGAGGATAAGGCCGGCCACAAATGCCATCAATTATTTTGTGAAGAAGCTAGACAGAAAAATGAAAAAAGCATAATTCTAAGTGTAATTACAAAACTTGCTTTTCTTCACTGTAGCAAACGTGCTGTTGGAAAAGTTCTTATTATTTGCAATGGCAGTTCAGGTCAATACGTAATTATTTTTAAGATTAATCATACTAATCAAAAATTAGAGCTCTGCAAAAATCTCAGATTTTTTTATTATTATTTAATGGATATATTATTGTTTCTCTCATATTTCTGAGAGGAAGTTCACAAGTGTAAATTTCACTTCAGGATTACTTAGACATTGTACTTAGTCAATGACCAAATGGTATGACTTTTTTAAATAAGCAATCCCTTTCAAGAGTAAGAAAAGAGCTTTGGTGGCACTGTGGTTAAGATACTGGGTTGCTACCACGATGTTGGTGGTTCAAACCCACCAGATGCTCTGTGGGAGAAAGATGAGGCAGTCTGCTTCCATAAAGATTTACAGCCTTGGAAACACTATCAGGCAGTTCTACGCTATCCTATAGGGTCACGAGGAATCAGAATTGACTCAATGGCACTGGGGTTGGTTTTGGGTTTCAAAAGTAGGAAGGGGTTTATAGATGCAAAGACTCCACTGATGCCTGTCTAATTCAACTCATTTAAATTTAGATCAAGGTCTTTTACCATATAAACGTCTTTTTCATTTCCCTTTTCACAGTTTTTGTACTTAATTATTTTGATCCACTCCAAGAAACCCTCAGTACCTTTCTTTTTCCATTTGTCCATTCTTTCTATCCTACCTTAATATCTGCAGCTGAAATCCAGCATAAACAAAACCAAACCAAACCTACTCCCATCTAGTTGATTGCAACTCATAGTGACCCCCTATATGAAAGGAGCTCCGGTAGCATAATGCTTAAGGGACTTGACTGCTAACCAGAAGTCTGGCGGTTCAAACCCACCAGCCACTCCTCAGAAGGAAGGTTGGGCAATCTACTTCTGTAGTGATACAGCCTCGGAAACCCAAGGAGGGGTCGCTATGAGTCAGGTCCGACTCGACGGCACTTAACAACATATATATGTATAATTACCTATTTTTACTTTAAAAAAAAATTTTCAGAGGCAAAAAGTTTAATTAAGTGGTGCTGTTTGGGAATAATGTTCTATCACTATGTTGAAACTCTCCTCCTAAAACGAACTGGTGGTAGTTTTTTCTTCTTGGGGCTACTCTGCCTCCACCACAAATCTTCAGAGGTTAGAGAGAGTTTTTGGGTCTTCTCTTGCACAGAGGTAATACTGTAGTTGCAGTTTTAGTCTTAGCCAGGATTGCATTTCAAGCATGATATGTATATATTTAGTTCTATATATTCTGGTTTGGGCAAGGGCAATAGATAGCCTAGAGGGCATTGGCATTCTGAAGTCAGGGAGAGGGAGGGGATGATGCATAAAAGGAAAAAAAAAAAACAAACCAAACGACAAAAGGGAAATGTTCTGGGGTTCTTTTCACCTTCTCTCAGGAATAGTCCAAAGAGGAGGAGCAGCCCAAAGTACCTGCCATTTGGTGCCATCCTACACAGCCCAGAATGAAGTTTCTGGGTTTTTTCCCCTGAGCCTCACGAGTCAGGTTCTCTCTTACCCTTAAAGTGTCAACATACATGTTACCTTCTGAGAAAACACAATCTTGCACCATTCTAACTAAAGTCTTCCGGTTATTTTACTTTCTTCATAACAATTTTTCTGTCAGGGGTGCATAGCGAGCATGTGAAACATAGGTATTCGGTGAATGAAAGGTATACACAACCAAACCCAACCTACTGCCCTCCAGTCGCTTCTGGTTCACTTCCACACAACAGGACTGAGTAGAACTTCCCCACCAGGGTTTCCAAGGCTACATGCAATTCTTTATGGAGGAGCTCTGGTAGCATAGTGCCTAAGGCACTTGACTGCTAACCAGAAGGCTGGCAGTTCACACCCACCAGCCACGCCTCCGAAGGAAGGTTGGGCAATCTACTTCCCTAGTGATACCATCTCGGAAACCCAAGAAGGGGTCGCTATGAGTGGGGCCGACTCCACGGTACATAACAACAATTCTTTACGGAAACAGACTGCTTCATCTTTCTCCTGTGGAGCGACTGGTGGGTTCAAACAGCCATGTTTTGAGTCACAGCCGAATGTTTTAACCACTACGCCACCAGGACCACGGACTCCCCTCACAAGCTTTCAAAGTATAGGCGAGGACTCCACTTCCCAGAAGGCTGGTGGTTCAAATCCACCAGCCACTCCTCGGAAGGAAAGTTGGGCAATATACTTCCGTAGTGATACCGCCTCGGAAACGCAAGGAGGGGTCGCTATGAGTCAGGGCCAACTAGAAGGCACATAACCACCACCACTTCCCCGCCCAGGTTCACTAGGTCCCGGGCCGCGCGTGGGAGCAGGCGGCCCGTCCCCAAAGGGGTGCAGGCGCGGCCAGGGCCTGTCTGCCAGAAGAGCCAGGTCCCGGTGGCGACGCCCCAAGCCTCGGGCTCCACATCTCCCCGAGGGAGGTGAGGGGGCCGGCCACCCAAAATCACGCCCCTTCCGCCTCCTTTCCTTGGGGAGCCCGAGCGAGCTTCGCGAAGGAAAAATTGGGCCTGACCTGCATGCAGGCAGCCCCAGAACCCCGATGCTGCGCTCCCGACAGCCATCCTCACCTGCAGACCCCGTTCGGCCGGCAGTTTCTGCAGCTGCCACAAAGGGGTCCCCCCTTCCGGCTCCATAGTTGAAGCGAGGCTGAGCCTGTCACGTGACGAGGCCAGCCTCTCAGGTTGCCACAGCTGGCCCACGTGCCTCGGATACGCCGGGGTAGAGGGGAGAGAGAAGCGGCAGTAGCCCTAGTGCGCTTGCGCAGAGATGCAGCCAATGCTCTCCTAGTAACTAAGGAAAGTTCTTTTCCGCTTGGTGTGGCTTTGCTGAATACCGTTGTATTATTGGTTTGAAGGCAAATTTGCAAATCTCTGAACGTAGTTTTCAGATTTGAGCAGAGTTCTATTGAACTTACTCAGCACGCTTTAGAAAACAATTTAATAAGGCTTACTATATATTTGCATTCACCCAGGCCCTTGACTGGGTAGTTAATACATCTTGTACTAAAGTACCTTCTTTTGGAAGGTAAATTAAGGGCTTACTATATGCAAGGTTCTTTATATGCATTATCCTAAGAAGAGGTTATGACTTGCAGTCTCATTTTACAGGTAACAAGTACGTCCGTAAGTCCCAGAAATTAATAAGATTATCAGATTCAACTTATTAAAAATACAGTAAGGACCCCCCCCCCCGCGCCCAGTTAAATATGAGATTTCAGATACATAAGGAATAATTTTTGGTGGAATTATGCCCCAAATATTGCAAGGGGCATACTACTACCAAGAAAGTATTGACTGTTTATCTGAAATTCAAGTTTAACTTTGTGTCCTCTATTCAGGAGATCTGGTGCCTAAGGCATTTCACTGCTAACCAGGAGGCTGGCGGGTTCAAACCCACCAGCCAGTCCTACGGAAGGAAGGTTGGACGATCTACTTCCTTAGTGATACCCCTCGTAACCCCAAGGAGGGGTCGCTATGAGTCCCATCCGATTAGATGGCAGTGAGTTTGGTTTTTGGTGGCAAAATGGTTAAGTGCTGGGCTGTTAACCAAAATGTTGGCGATTGGAGCCTACCAGCTGCGAGGCAGGAGAAAGATAAGGTCGCTGTGAGTAGCAGTGAACTCCCAGGCAAAATGTTTTGGATTGGGTCTTGTATTTTACCAGGAAATTGGAAGAATCATGTGATGCCCAAACTAGTGACAGTCCAGCCTGAAGTTGAACAAAGTCAGTCAGACACTAGAGTCACACTTTTAATGTTGGACTAAACGTGAACCCAAAGAGCTTTTCTGTGACTTCTCACCTTCCATAGCTATCACTTTAATCAGGTAATGGAGAATTTGATGGTGATAAGACAGTTCCTGCCTTTCAGAAGTGCACAATAACTTGAAGACACACACACAAAGTAGTGCAAAGTATGAAGCAGACAACAGAGAGAAGAGTGACTGTTTCAGTCTGAGGGCTATGCAAAGAAAAACTACCCATTAGTGGCATCCTTCAAGGTTTAGCTCAAATGTTCCTTCTCTACTGTGCACCCTCTTGGGAGTGAAAGTAACTTATTCCTCCGATTTTTCATGACACTGAATTTTCATGTCCTTTACTTAACATATTTACCATTTCCTTGTTCTTTATATAGATACCAAAACTAAACCCACTGCATTTGACTCAGTTCTAACTCATTGTTAGGATAGTAGAACCGACCCTTAGAGTTTCCAAGTCTGTGATCTTTACAGAAGCAGACTACCCTATTTTTCTCCCTGGGAGGCAGCTGGTGAGCTTGACCGCCAATCTTTTGTTTAGCAGCCAAACACTTAACCACTGTGCCACCAGGGTTCCTTAGTTAAGTATATGAGATGCTTTAATTTTTTTTCTTTCAAACCATCTGTGGTAGTCAAATTTGTATGTCAACTTGGCTGAACCTGGTTGAGTGGCTGGGCAGCCGGTGGTAGTTATTCTCCGTGATGAGACTGGCAATCAGCTCCATGGTGGGATCTACCACAAGCAGCCGAGTAGCTGCCTGAGGTATGTGGTCTGCTTCCCGTATATGAGGAGAGGCCTTGGGAATGATCTCTAGTTTATGGCATGTTTGAACCCTGCAGTAGCCATGTCACTGTTCAGCAGCCTGCCATGCTCTGCCGACCTTGGGACTTACAATGGACTTGAATTAATGGCCTGCCATGTGGTTTGGTGACATCGGGATTGTACCATTTTATTGTCGACCTTGGGCATGTTAGCCTCAGCAGCCAGTAGCTGCCTGAGTGAAGAGATACCTCAAGCTTCAGTGGGCCAGGAGCAAGAGGCAGAGCTGAAGCCCAAAGTTGAGGGGCTTTTACACAGTCCCTAGAGCCTGGCACTTTGAACTTGGACTTCTAACCTCCCGAACTGTAAGAGAATAAACTGTTAAAGCCATCCCATTTGTGGTATACTCTTGTTAGAGCACCACTAGGTAACCAGAACACCATCTAAATCTTGCTTGAATTCATCTCTTTTTTTCCCCCGACTTCTTGGTAAACCAAACCAGTAACAACCAATATACTGATAATAATCCGTTTTCCAGCCCCATTGCTTCCAGCTACCATCAAAGTTGGCAAGGAGCATGCTTTCCAGGTAGTCACAAGCACTGCATTACATGAAAGCCTAGCTTTTTAGCCTGCTGTGAACCAATGAGCCAATGCCATTTATTTTAGGATATAGAGCTTAAAACTCCATATACCAGTTTCTATATTAGTCAGAAAATATTAACAACCTCTGCCAAAGGGGCAGGGAGGCTGCATTTTCTGACCTCCTCTAACCCCACAAGAGGAAGACAATAACCATCAGTAGCCCAAGGCCTATCCCTGTGAGGCCAAACGTGGCACCTCCCTCCAGCCCTGACACCAACTGTTCCTCCCTCAGCACCCACCACCTCTCTGCTGGGTTCGATAATTTGCTGCAGTGGCCACACAGAACTCACAGATTATGGGGTTTTATTATGGAAGCCACAGTCTACAATTGAAGTTCAGGAACACGCTCAGTCTCTCTCAGCCCACTGTCTCTCAGCCAATGGTCTTTCCCAGTCTCCCTCTCTCAGAGTGCATGTCTCTCGGTGTCTCTTTCTCAGCAGCACGTGTCTCTTAGGAGCACATTTTTCTCAGCAACACGTCTTTCTCAGCCAGCAGTCAAAGAGACTCCTTCTGCCTCTAGGAGGGCCCCTTTTGAGCCTGGCAGAGTGGCCAAGCTAACCGATCATAACATCAGAATTCTAAGCACCTGCGAGAAAGCTAACTTCCCAGAACATTGTTTTGTGCCCCTCTCAACAGAAGTATCCCAGGTGGATAACTTTAACAATCAGGAGCTCTTCAGTTGCTCATGGCAAATTCCACCATGGAGTTTATAAAGACTTGTGGCTAGAAAAGCCATACCAGGTAATTTACTACACCACAACCTCCAAATTTGATTAACGTAATATTCACTTATTTCTTGTTTATATAACAGTCTCATACAGGTATAGGTGGTTGAGTGGCCCTTCTGATTTCTAAGACCTCAAAATTCAGTTGATTGAGTCAGTAGATGGGAGGAGAGAGTGTTTGGAAAATCAGCAAAGAGGTTTTTATGTGCTAGACCTAGAAAAGCATCACAAGAAGATGGAAGGAATAGATAGAGTCACTGTACAAAAAGAATTGGTTGATGTTCATCTATTTCAGGAGATGGCATATGAACAAAAAACAATAATTGTAGAAGAACAAATTTAGAAACATAGTAACCTTAGTTTGTTACTTAAACATTTAGTTTCTTACTTAGAGAATGTAGCCAGTTTAATAGAGAACCTTAGGTACTGGAACTTATTTTACTAGTTACTTAGGAATTTTGAAAATACATATGTAGTTTAAGTAGCAACTGTTTTAATAAGCATAATTTACTTAGATAACTTTGTGACTAGCTTTAGCTTCTAGCCGAGCTTGTTTTTGTACTATTAATTTAGGTAAGGCTCAAAGTATCACCAGGCCTAAGTTTCACTTTTCTTACTTAAGTTTCAATTTACTAGAATAAACTTAGTTACAAGAAATCACCGCTGTACAAACACCAATCAGAAAAGCCAAAGCCTGGAAAGTCCCAAGGAGGGACCCCTTCTCTAGCAGGAAACTGGAAAGTCCCAAACTTGCACCTATCAGCAGCCTCCAAATAACAGAACTAATCCTCTGTACCAATCGTTACTAATTAACCTCTTTGTTTGTAACCGCCCCTTAATAATCTTATAAAAGTGTAAGACATAGAGAGCCAGGGGTCTTTTGCCCAAGCCGTTGCATCGGTGTAAGCAGAGACCCCAGCTCGAGCTTGGAAATAAACTTTTCCTTTGCTTTTGCATTGTCGAGTCCGTGTCACGTTCCTTGCGCCGACACTCCTTTCCAAATTCGGGTCCAACATAATATTGAAGGGAAATGTCAAAGCTGCACTGAAGGAATTGGCGAAAAACAAGGCTCCAAGAATTGATGGAATACCCGCAGAGGTATTTCAACAAATGCATGCTAAAATTATGCCAAGAAATTTGGAAGACAGCTACCTGGGCAACTGACTGAAAGAGATCTCTATTTGTCCCCATTCCAAAGAAAGGTGAGCCAACAGAATGTGGCAATTATCAAACAACATCACTAATATCACACACAAGTAAAATTTTGCTGAAGATAATTCAAAAATGGTTGCAGTAGTGTATTGACAGGGAACTTCCAGAGATGCAAGCTGGATTCAGAAGACGATGTGGACGAGGGGTATCATTGCTAATGTGAGATGAATCTTGGCTGAAAGCAAAGAATACCAAAAAGATGTTTACTTGTGTTTTATTGACTATGCAAAAGCATTCGATTGTGTAAGTCATAACAAATTATGGATAACATTGAGAAGAATGGGAATTCTAAAAGACTTAATTGTGTTCATGAGGAACCTGTAAATAGACCAGGAAGCTGTTGTTCAAAAATAAACAAGGGGATGCTATATGGTTTAAAATCAGGAAAGGAGTGTGTCAGGGTTGTATCCTTTCACCATACTTATTCAAGCTATATGCTGAGCAAATAATCCAAGAAGCTGGACTCTATGAAGAAGAATGCAGTATCAGGATTGGAGAAAGGCTCATTGACAACCTGCAATAGGCAGATGACACATCTTTGCTTGCTGAAAGTGAAGATGACTTGAAGTACTTACTA